AAAGAAGGACAATCTAACTCATCTAATTCTGCTGATAACTGTTCTAAAGACACTTTCTACTACATGTGTTAACAATCTAGAATTAGCAACACCATTATTTATAACAAAGAGAAAATTTGACAACTACATTGAAAAAATTAGACGACGAGTGTTAAGTCTAGATCCAGTTGCAGGTCGGATTGAAGGTGAGAAAATCAGGATTCGAAAAGATGCTGATGTGCGTTTTTCCAACCATAGGTTTTCATGATTATGTTCTCATGATTATGGTGTACATTCAGTGTAAATACTATAGTACAAAGAGCGACGCTTAGTTTGGTATGAGGACTGACGACTAAGTGCATCCACTATAGTGTCACTAAAACGTATAGGATATAAAAATTTTAACTGAAATTCATTGGATGAAAATTTTAGATTTATATAAGCTTCAAATAACAGTTCATTTCCGCATAATTCTTTGTTATGCTCAAGCGCAGCTACTGAGATCTCCGATGAAGGCGCCACTAACAGATTGTGTTGGAGATCCATCGTGAGGCGGCCTCATCGGAGATCTCAGTAGCTGCGCTTGAGCATAACAAAGAATTATGCGGAAATGAACTGTTATTTGAAGCTTATTTAAATCTAAAATTTTCATCCAATGAATTTCAGTTGAAATTTTTTATATCCTATATGTTTTACTGACACTATAGCGGATACACTTAGTCGTCAGTCCTCATACCAAAGAAATGATTCAAAGGCGGATCAGTCTGATTATGAATCCGCTTACAGATCTTCGTTAGATGCTCCAGAAGCTGAGATCATGAGGCTCATAGCTCAAGGGTCGCACAAATCTCAGACTTTTTAATAATAAGGATAATTCGAAAAAAACTTTCAGCAAATGTTTTGAAACAAATGTATTGGGCGTAGGTAATTATGTCTACTAGTTCAAATACTTGCTGAAGTGAAGACTTAATTACCTCTAGCCTGTGGGGTTTTACTGCAAATCTCGTTACTTTGGGTATGTTCTAAGTATGCTGTGACATACTAATAACACAAAACAAAGGATTTGCGATGTACACTGGAAAGTTAAAGATTACCGACCACGCTGAGTCTCACGCTAATACCCACTTTTATTAAAAGTTTTAATGACTAAGTGGAATCCACTAAGGTAAAATTTCAGACTATTTTCATGCACAGAAACGGCGATTCAGTTGGCATAAAATATTGCCTTCATCTCTCCAGGAGAAAAACTAGATAGGTTTACAAGATGGTTAAGAGTTTTTTTAATGGATCTGCTTTAGACATAGGCACTTAGTGAGCTTTTGAGTTTGTTTTCTCACTTTGTAGATGACACTTGGAAGAGTATTTCGTATGAGTATTTCAGTTCCCGGACTTCTAATTTTTGACAAAACCATTTTTTAAATTTTTCTTCAACTTTTTGCGCGGTTTTAAAAAATTTCAATAAAGTTTTCAGATTTCTATATATAACCTCGGTTTTGATGTTAATCGATAGAGAACATCAAGATGTATCTATAAGATTCGGTGAAGGTTTCGCTCAAATTTGACTGAGTTACTCCGCTTTGACTTATCCGGTGAAATTTCGGACCAAGAAGTATTTTTAATAACACCTTGAACCAAATTTCGCTCAAAGGAAGTATTTTCAAGGATACGTGGGGCACAAAGGTTGTTCAGAATCAGTTTCCCTGGAATATGAACCAGGGATTTTTGAAAGTTCCCTAGACCGTATTTTTAAATTAAACTGTACTAAATTTTAAAGTTTTAAGAACCGTATTTTTCAACTCAAAAATCGAGTTTAACGAATTTTGAAAAATCGTTGATTCATATTCCAGGCAATTTGACTCTGAGCAACTTCTGTACTCACACTTTTTCTTAAAAATGTTGTATTATGATTTTCAAATTCAACGAAGTATTATGAATATAATGATGTATGTTTGAACCACAAACTGAAATGTCACTGTGACTCTGAATTTGAGGCGCCTTAATTAATTTTTTCTCAGCCAGATAATGTCCATAAGCCAAAAAGACTTCAGAATATATACTTCCAGGTGTCCTGAACGAACTGGTGATATATGAGAGACAAATACGATATTTCAAAATTTTGCTTATTTTCGGCTGGAAATGGATTTTTAAAAACACCTTGAACCAAATTTCGCTCGAAGGAAGCATTTTTAAGAAAAACTATGAGTAGAGAAGTTGTTCAGAATCAGATTGCCTAGAATACGAATCAAGGGTTTTCAAAATTCGTTAAATTCACTTTTTGAACTGAAAAACACGGTTCTTAAAATTTTAAAGTTTAGTACAATTTAATTTAAAAATCCAGTCTAACGAATTTTCGAAAATCCTTGGTTCATTGGACGAAGGAAGAATATCTCACCTTGCGGCTATCGTTACTGGTGTAGGCTGCTGCCGTAGCAGTTTTAATAGTCCGATATCTTCTCTGCAGCTGACAAGGTTCTGTAACGGACACACATCTCGTTACTAGTAATCAATTGCAGCTCTGACCAGAAGGCTAGCCGGATGCAGAGTTCTTTTGCCCAATTACCTGAGCTCCTCATACACACTTCACTAACCACGTACTAGCTGTCCGGAATGCCACGAGGACTAAGCTGTCCCTAGTAAAAGTCTTATGAGTTTCCTGAGAGGATCCAAGACATATCCTACCAGTGTCCTACTAGGATTTCGCTTTAATTTCTCAGGATCCTAACAAAATCCTACAGAATCCTAATAAAATCAGATATATCCGAAATTTATAGAATTTTCAAAGCTTCTGTTAGGATCCTAAAGAAACTTAAGTGAAATCCTAGTAGAATTCTAGCATTTTAGGCTTCTACCAGGAAGCATCAGTAGTATTACTTACCCAGATAAACAAGCCAAATGAAAAGATAAGATTAAATATAATACTTGTAACTGGTCAGCATATTAATATAAGATAAAAGATTACATAGATAGTAGTGGTTTAAACATAAAAAGCTCTCCTACTTCTTCGATGACTTATCCAATGTAAAGGAAATATATTTGATCGTTCTCAGATACAAAAGTTCTTAACCAATTATCAGTCATAAAAATACTTGAAAAATATGGAGAATTATAAAACATTAAAGTCTCTATGAATTTATGTCTAACGAAGAAAGTTTTGTGAAGGAATCGATTTCTGTAAGGCGCCAAAAATTCAAAAATGCAGCAAAAGGTTTCTTTTCGTTTATTTGCACATGGTTGGATAGACCATATCTTATGATTTTCAAAAATTCGAATTTTCATAACGAACGCAGAGTTTTTCTGTTTAACTAACACATATGTCTGTTTCTAATTCTCTTTCCTTTTGTGGTTGATTTTTTCGTTTTCTTTTTTTTGTCATATATTTACATACGAGCACTAAAAAAGAAAAGGAAATGTGTTCACCAGTTGTATCACAACAGTATAAATATTTATTCGAAGAAAAGCGTAACAAATTTCTTTCTATTTGATGAAGTAAAAAAAGAGAAATATTAAGTGAAAAATAAGTGATACTTCTACAGAGATAGCACAAATTAGCATTAACGCGCCTAGATTGTGCAGTAAGTTTCCAAATAACTTTGGTTTTTCACATAAAATCGAATTTTCTCAGCTCAGCAACATTTGTATTCAAAACCAAGGTGACATTTGGAATCAGCATGCGAAATTGCATTGAGCGATATGTATTACAAACCTTTCTACAAGAAAAATATTTCATCGAAAAGTTTTGTCCTCCTGGAAACAGAGAATTTTCCGAAAAAAAAGCTGTTTTCAAACTTTCTCGAATTTTTGAAAAAAATAATTGTACAAGCGATTTTGAGTCATTCGACTCCAAAAACAGAATGAATGCAGAAACTACTAAGTCCACATGATAAGCCAAAAATGTCATTGTGCTGATATTGAATTCTACTACGTCATTTAGGCATACTGATTAGATAATTCCAGAGCTTCCAGAGGATTTGATCAGTACCTACAGAAGTTTTGTTTTTTAAACTATTTATAGCTTGGAAAACATCGGATACATCAATATGAAGCCCTGATAAACTTTGAGAGAATGATAAACGAGACTGATAAATGATTTTGGTAAGGTAGAAAGTTGTGAAAAACTGGTTTGAAAGAAAGAGGATAGTAACTCGGCTTTAGAAGAATCATCACTGGCTGTGGAAGAATTGTACTACATACACGCTGGCAAGTCTTCAATAGGGTTACGATACTTTTTTATCGCTGACCAAAATCGCTTACTATTTGAGAAATCTTACATGACAGATTTAAATAATCGTTTTTTATCAGCACGAATAGAACTAATAAAGAGATTACGATACTTTTTATAAATCATAAATAATCGCGCAAGATGCTGTTTTAATTTTGATTTTAGAAAAGCTGAATTTCTTCTTTTTTTTTAAGAGAGCGAGTACGATGTGAAAAACATAAATATCTTTCTTTAACAATAGAAACAGATTTCATAGGGACACATTGTCGAACAACTCACATAAAGTGATCGTACCATATGGCAAGCGCGTGATTAGTATCATTGCATAAGTAAAATACTAGATCTATATAATAAATTTTTGACGCGAACAAACACATATCTATATTTTCATAGTCATATACATGGCGAAAAGCATCTTTCAATTTTATTTCATATGGAAAAGAACAAGACAAGACATAGTGAGGAGACTTGCCTATAGCACTAGAACTGATGAACGAAAGATCACAATAATTCAAATTAATTCAACTCAAAATTATTGTATATACACTTCTTTTTAATCATGGGTAAAGGCCACGATAATTGCGTTAACGTTTATGATACAGTACTTCTTTTATCTATAATTTTGTTCCACTGTAAAATCCTCGAAGGCAAGTAACCATATTCCAGTTTCATTATTTTTCATCCATGTTTCTTTATCAATAAATCCATCGCCAACATTCATTGTCCATCTCGATGATGATTCACCACTACTTGGACCCGTCACAGTGATTTTGCGATCATAATAAATTAAATTCGTCGCACCAGTTGTTTTGTAAAAGTTATTCCAAAATTCTCCAATCTTTTCTCGTCCAACAAGTGGTAGCGATGGAACACTCGCATTACGAGCATACAACTTTGCAGTGGGTAAATAGGCATTGACGATATATTTAAAATCTCCCATATTGAAGCGTCGGATCCATTCTGTTGAAGCAGCAAGAAATTGCGTACCAACATCACTCTCATCGTAATTCGTACTCCTGTCAAAATTAAAAAATAACGGTCTCAGTTGTTTTATAAATGATTAGGAACGGAAAGAGATAGAAGCGTACGGTTTGCATCATTTTGTAGAGGAGATCTGATCTTTTGGTGCAAGGAGGTTTGAAACTATCGGATTTTCACCATTAATTATTGGAATTTTTATAGTTTTCGAAAGATTTTTCAGAAATCTTTTGAAGCAGTGGAATGTTTTCTTGACTACCGGACCAAGTTCAGTAAACAAAGTGAAATATATGTGAAATTAAGGATAAGTTTCGTTTGATTGGCACTGACTTATGAATTTTCCAATTTCTAGTCAAATTAGGCCAAAAGGGTTCATTCACTCACTATAGGTTTTCATTTGGTTTTTGAATTATCTTCTGAAAATAAACGTTGATTAAGTGTAGTCATCTGAAACTCAAAAACTCAAAGAAAAAGAATGCAT